CGGTATGTCACATAATAAAATCGGTTTGTGTCATACCAGTAGTTGCACTTGAGGGGCTCAGTCCTGAGATGCAGATAATAATAGGCAATGATTTTTTGAAGTTCTTTTTTTTTCTTTAGTTGTTTTGTCATTCGTTTCTTGAGATAATACCACCAGGACTCCCCGCGGTGATTCTCCTTATTTTCAAAATTGAAAATAATGATAACTTTCAATAAAAACTAAAAGAAAAAAGAAAAAACAACAAGGAAATTATAAAAGTTAGTTATAATTGCAGGTGGGGGTAAAATACAGTTTCGAATTGTACTTTGGATAATATATACAACTGAACTTTATAGTCATGTAGGGTATCTCAAGTGTAATTGCAAACTGTATCTTACCGTACAATGCAAGTATAATTTATAACTCGTTTTTGTAACTTTATTGAAGTTACCCATATAAAAAAATAAGGATTATCATATGAGACCTAAAATATGACTCCGATATATTTCATGTATGCTCACGGTAACTCTGTTGTGAATCTTGGAATAACGAATCTTGATTCACATGTGATGTATTTATCATTCTCATTCTAGTACTCTCGATATGCACAAGATAAAAAAAAAAATAATGACAGTGTATTTTTTCATGTTTTAGCAAAAAATTCTTTATCGTTTTGTGTTTGTCGATAGTAGTGGAGTGAGACCCCATGTGGAAAACAACCTTGCTCCATTACTCATTATATGCAATAAATAAATAAATATGGTCACAATCTACTATTATCAAAATGTGCAAAATGAGAATGAATTATCTGCTATAACATGAAAAGATACGTTGCCATCTTCAGTTCCTTCGGCTGTTGTCGGGGGGAGTCTGTGTGGTGTCAATAATATACCGTTTTTTTTTTTTCCATTTTTTTACTTTCGATCCGCTCCCTAACCAACTTCGTCAAACCTTCAGAAAACGTTTTTGTTACGAGTAGTAAACCTTTTATTCCGCTCATTCTTACGAACCGGTTGGTCCTCCCACCAAGTAAAGTCTCAGTTGTACCAAACTCCAAAACGGTCACCGCCCTCCCACCTTTTACGCCCTTAACTCGATGGAATGTCATCTTTCAAATTGGTGGGGGGAATTGTGGTTTAAGCAACTCATGTATAACTGAATTTCTTTCATATATATAGTTAACTCACGAGAGATTGAAAAATATAAAAAAAATTATGCTGACTGAATATTTGAAGTGTGATTTGGATTGTAAAAGGTGATGTTAAAAAACTTACAGTTTCACTATCACAAAATATCAATTTTAAACTCTAACAAGTTGAACTATGATTTCAAATATATTCACAAAAAACGGGTTCAAATATGCATATGACCAGGGTAACAGGCATTCGGGACGGGCCGAACGCCCGAACCCGAACGCCCGAACGTATGGGACCCCTTGGGGATGCGTTCGGCCATTCGGGCTGAACGCGGACCCAAAAAAAAAAAAAAAAAAAAATCAAAAACATATAAAAAAAAGATATGTTATTGAGAAAAATAAATTAAACAAGATTTGCTTGAGCATTACATTTCTTACCAAATTTGAAATAAAAATAAAATATGGAAAACAAATACTAATAATAATAAAAAGAAAAAGAAAAAGAAAATTAAATTTAGTGAATGCGCGAGCATGTTTTCGATACCACCATCTTTGGTGATTTTTATTTCCTTTTTGGCATAGCCAAATGCCCTGAAAATTTTCAGATGTGTATTCCACATAATACAAAACCCACTAAAAATAATTCAAAAAATAAAAAAATTGCTTAGACCCCGAACTAAAGTGAAAACAAAAAGTAAAAAGTGAAAAAATACTTGGGCGAGCACGTTTTTACACCGCCATCTTTGACGATTTTTAATTCTTATTTGGCTTAGCCAAATGAATTGAAAATTTGCAGGCATGTACCTCACGTCATAGAGAACTCACAAAAAAAGCATTCCGAAAACAATAATTAGTTTTAGGCCCTGAAATAATTTTTGGCGGGGGCCGAACGTCGTCAGGTTCGGACCCCGTACGGGACCCCGAACGCCCGTACGTACGGAGGTCTGCCCGGGGACCTCCGTACGTACGGGCTGGTGACCTTGCATATGAGTATGGTAAAAAGTAAAATAACAACATCGTCCTGTTGCAGAAACCAAGTGTATTCTTATTTTCACTTCACTCAAATTTTAATGACGAACAATAATACACTAAAGATCAAATTTGCAATTACCATTTGCACACACCTAAACAAAATTTAAAAGCAACATGCATTTTATAGTCATACATCCATTTTAAAGAGGAATTCGGTTCGATATTTTTTAAAGATATCAACAGGGTTGTAAATCTGTGATAAAAATATGAAGGACCGATTACCCCATAACTCTACGACAAATTACTATATTGCAGTCTTTAAGGTACGGAACAACTGCTCCATACCCTCATTCGAACGCCTCCCAAAAAGATGCACACTGTCCATATAGTCGTTTCAATTTTACGGAGGAGTGGTAGATTCAAAGTTGAATGAATATTTCAATCACACTACTATTATTTGTTTTTTTTCTCTTCTCTGTCCTTTATTTTTCTCTTTCTCTTACACATATATAGGCATGTAGATACCTACAAAAAATGACAACCACGTATCAATAGCAATACGAACAAATATTTTAAAAATTAGGCTGCAAGTTGTCTGATCCGGAGATGTCCGAGAGATAGTCAGGGGAGAGTATTCCAGGATCCTCGAAAACATCGTTTTGGTAAAAAAAATAAAAAATCGGGGGAGGGTCTCCGCACCGTGAGGGACCCACCCCAAAAAAATACAGACCATTATGAGAAAAAATGAAAAAAATGGTAAAAAAATGAGGGATGAGAGTTAATGGAAGGTCCGTTGGTACACACGACGAGGGGGAGGAAAAAAAAGAGGAAGAGGAGGAGGGGGAGGAGAAGGAGGAGGAGGGTGATAAGGAGGAGGGTGGCGAGGAGGAGGAAGAAGAAGAAGAGGAGGAGGAATATCACAAGGGGGCATAAACGACGGAGGAGGAGGAGGAGGAAGAGGAAGAGGAAGAGGAGGAATAAGAAAAAAAAAAAAAAGAGGAGGAGGAGGAGGAAAAAGAAGAAGAAACAGAAGAGGAGGAGGAGGAGGAGGAAAGAAAAGGAAGAGGAGGAAAGAAAAGGAAGAGGAGGAAAAGGAGGATGAGGACGAGGAGGAGGAGGAGGAGGAGGAGGAAGAGGAGAAAGAGAAGGAGGAAGAGGAGGAAGAGGATTTTGTTTTTTTTTCACCGCAATCTTTGATGATTTTTTTTTTTTTTTACAAATTCAAATTGACTGAAAAACTTATAAGAACAATATGCCTCACTTGTAAAAAAAAACATAAGAGTTTTTTTTTGAAATAAAAAAAAAAAAAAAAAAACCCTAAAAAAAAAAAAAAAAAAAAAAAAAAAAAAAAAAACTTCGAGAGCATATTTTTTACAATGCCATCTTGGGCGATTTTTAACTTTTTTTCTACTTATCAAAATACCGAAAAATTTATGTGTATATGCCTGATCTACAGAAGATCCACATAATATTTTTATTTTAAATAAAAATATTTAAATATTCTTATGTAGGTTCGGACAGAAGGCTCCCGTCGGACGTTTGGATCGGTTGTCCGGGTAGACATCCGAGATGGTTAGGGGGGTCCCCAACTTCCAACCAGGTTACATAGTTAAAAATCGTTTTAGAGGATCCGATTTCATGCAGTTGCGTCAAGATGGAACAAATCAAATTTTCAAAGACACGGATACACTTAAAAAAACGCATACATACACACCCTCATATTAACAACAACACCAATACATAATTCAAAATTCACTTATAAGACCACAATTCAAATAATACGATGACTTTCTTGCTCAAATATCAATTTTGCCAGACCTTTCTCTCAGGCATAATTTAATTGATTTTCAAAGGTTACGAAGTCGGTAGATGTCGAAGTAGCCAACGACTGCTTAGTTAGTCTCACCCGACCGCCGACGGATTCGTACTGCTCAAGTATGCGATGTGCTCTTTCGAGTCCATCGATTTAGGCTCCTTTCCGTCTGCTGACTGTGTACACAACCAGACCAGCGCTGCGCGCCTATTGCTAGGCTGCCGCTGTAAGACATAAAGTTGCAACAACTCTTTGTTTTCATGCATATATAAACAAAATATTATCACAACAACCATAAAGCACGACAACATTAGTAAACAATAAGAGATCCGATTCACAAGAGCATATACCAAACAATGATTTTGTATTATCGAAGTACAACAATAAGAATATAAGCGGGAGTATGAACAATACTAACAAAGCCAACCAAAACCACAAAAAAAACATTGAATGACCATTGATGTCCTTTTCCCCATGTCATATGCTTGTTTCGTTTCCTTTATTTTTCAACAGTTTCCTCCCTCCGTCCCCACCCTTCTCCATGTCCCTCGCATCCCCCGCTAGTCCCTAATTTTGATCATCTGCTCGCCAGGTAATCGTTTATGCGCCAAGAAGGGCAATTACCGCTTCCCCCATTAGCCCTTAACTTTCCTGTTCATCTCTATTCCTTGAAGCTCATATGTTTTCCGTTCATCTCCATCCGTTGAAGCCCGTCAGTTGTCTATGGCCTGGCAAGGAAATACCGATGCTAAAAGCCCCATGGTTGCTAGCGCAGCCCTATCGGAACCGAGTGCAGCTTACAGGCTGCCAACAAAGCCCTCACAACAAAGCCTTCACAACAAAGCCCTCATGGAACCACGTATGTTGGCACCTGATTCGATCGTGGATTACCGGATGGTGTAAAATGGAACAGCCCGTTATAACAGCTCGGAATCCGGTAGCTGTGGTGCGGCTGTGAGAAGTTCCGGTGCCCGTGTGGGAGTGGCTTCCTCTGCAATGCCAGCAGAGGGCCCAGGGTTGCCGACTCCCCGGCCAACCGGGTTCTTTTCAAACAGGGCTTCTGTAGGCGGAGACGGTCGTGAGCCAGTGTCGGGTACCGGCGTGTGCTCATGTAGCGAGATCGTAGTGCGAGGTCAGGAGCTCTCTGCCTTCGGCGGACATATACGCTCCAAATTACAACCAGCATTCCTTTCCGTGGTGAGCGTGGATAGGGGCGGGTCGCAGAGTCGTGTTTCGCGCTCGCCTGCTAAGGCGCTCCTTACCGTGATCAACCTCAGAACACTAACCTCCCACCATGACGAAGCGAACGAAGAAGGCCGGCATTGTCGGCAAGTATGGAACGCGGTATGGCGCCAGTCTGAGGAAGCAGATCAAGAAGATCGAAGTGAGCCAGCACTCCAAGTTCTTTTGTGAATTCTGCGGCAAGTTCTCTGTCAAGAGACAAGCCGTGGGCATATGGTCGTGCCCTGATTGCAGAAAGGTTAAGGCCGGCGGAGCGTACACTCTGAACACAGCGAGTGCGGTGACAGTACGGAGTACCATGCGGCGCCTGAGAGAGCAGATCGAGGGATAGTTCATCTCGGGAACGCTTTCGGCGGTTACCTTCTCCGTTTCTCGCTTGCAGTCCTGTTAGACAGGTTCATCGTTTTCGTGGGCATTCCACGGTATGATCATTTGCGGCTCGCGCAGTTTATGAGGGATAACGGCAAGCTAAAGAACCCACGGGGGTTTTCAAGGATGCGATTGGATGATGGATTCGGCCCAAGCTGTGGGTCGGTTCTTCCTTGTGAAGAACCCTCTGATTAGGGTTGCGCGGAGGGAGTGATGGGGCGACACAGGGAAATGCATTTCCACGGGGAACAGGAAAGGGATTGGGAATCAGGAGGCAAAGACGAGGCAATCTGAAGTTGTTAGATCGCCAGTTTGTGGTTATGTATTTGTGGTGTCGGACGGATCGAGGTAGGGCAGGTGCTGGGTTTTTCGAGGGTTGTTTCTAGACGAATTACTGCAATGGTGTACTTGCACAATGCTACGGCCGACTCTCTTGTTATGTGTGATTTAGCATTTCGTACTTTGAAGTGAAAGTTCTATCCGCGGTTTATTGGTTTGGTTGTGAGCTTCTCCCCAATGCTCTCTTGTGCTTCCTTTGCGTGATTCCGTTTTGACGTTGCCTCTTATCTCAACCATGAACCCTTGTGTACGCCTCTACTTTGCACGCCTAATTCAGATGAGGACTTTTCCGTCTGTATCTGTATGTACTTCGAGATGAAGGGCCTCCTGTATAAGACTTAGTATGAGTTAGCCCTAATGTGATTTTGAATGAGCATTTCAGCGCTGTCTTCGATGTGTGTGTAATTTGCTTGGGCGGCGTGGCTTTGGGCTCCTAATGATTGCGGTACTGGAGCATGGAAAAGACTCGTGCATCTCGACATAACAGCAATTGAAATTGATGGGAGTAATGAATCAGCTTTATAGTTGACATTGCTTCATTTGTGCTATTAAATTCCCTGTGAAAATGTTCCCCTGCTATCACCTTTGTGCTCTATTTGCCCTTAACACCACACCCCTGCCATTCTCAAGTAGTGTATTTTCGTCTGCGACCCTCTACTTCTCCTCCACGTATCCCTCTCCTAGCTTTTACCTTCTCTTCTCTTCCCTCGCTCTGCTCTTTCTCCTCCTGCTCTTTATTCCGTTTGTTTCTTCCTCCCCCTGCTCTTTCTTACTTTGGTACTTCCTCCTCCTGCTTCTTCCTCCTGCTCCCTCCTGCTCCTTTCTCCCCTGCTCCTTTCTCCCCCTGCTCCTTTCTCCCCCTGCTCCTTTCTCCCCCTGCTCCTTTCTCCCCTGCTCCTTTCTCCTCAGCTCCTTTCTCCCCTGCTCCTTTCTCCCCTGCTCCTTTCTCCCCTGCTCCTTTCTTCCCCTGCTCCTTTCTCCCCCCGCTCCCTCCTCCCCTGCTTCTTCCTCCCTGCTACTTACAGGCTGTCTCTTATACACATCTAGATGTGTATAAGAGACAGGGTCTGCCCGGGGACCTCCGTACGTACGGGCTGGTGACCTTGCATATGAGTATGGTAAAAAGTAAAATAACAACATCGTCCTGTTGCAGAAACCA